ACCTTTAATGGATTTACTCTGAGTCAAATTTAGGATTACAGCCTTAAACCTGGACATGATTTTGCCAGTACTTCCCAATACACACCCTGGGGATACTGACACAAACAGCAATTGCAAAACTGTCTGGGTGGAACGAGACAAGCCTCCACCCTGGTACCCTCTGGATACATTGAAGTACACACTGCAATACCGTCCAACGCATCTGGAGAGCACCATGCTCTCCTTCTCACCAGGGGAAGGCTGAACTAGATGTTCGGAAAGTTGCACAGCTTCCTCTGAAAACAGCAGCCACATGGCATTGCCTCCTCTCTCCTGAAGTAACAAATAACATGCCAAAATGCGTGGAGTAACCAATTTCCTTGCTTCTACAGGAAAGAGATAATGAAACAGAGCAGTTAAATTTCAAGTACACTGACAATACATCCCATGAATGTTTTGTTTTGTGAAGAGTTTCTGATGAGAGAAGGGGAAGATGCCGTTACTAGAAGCATCTAGCTAGCACTGCAAATGCCAACTTCTCAGCTTCGATTGAATTACTTAGAGCAGAGGTCATCAAACTTTTTCAACAGGGGGCCAGTTGAAAGGTGCCGGCGATGGGCGCAGGTCACCAAGGCAGTGTGGGCGGGGGGTGTGGGCCAGGGAGGGCATGCATGCGTGGAGACAGTTTTCTCTGAGCTTGCTCATAAGAAGATTGTTTTGGACTCGCTTGGAGAAAACGATCTCCTTGCGAGCAAGCCACCGCTGGGCACATGCACGGCACAGCGCCAGCTTGCTTGCAAGGAGATCCTTTTCTCAGAGCAAGCCCAAAACAATCTCTGCGTGAGCAAGGTGCCGCCTTGCCACACGCGCGAGCGTGTGCACAGCAAGTCCAAAACCTCTATGGTGCGCTGGATGAATGGGCATGGCGGGCTGGATCCGGCCCACGGGCCGTAGTTTGAGGACCCATGACTTAGAGAATTAATGAATCTGACATGGGGTGAAGGAAAAACAGAAGGAAAAAGACTATGAATATTCAGCGGCTTTCTTGCCTTGATTTTATCATAATATTATCATCACACATAGCATCACCTCACAGACGCAGGCTGCAATTTGAACCCTGCTGCAAGCAAAACGCCCCAAGTCTCTTCAGTAGTAAAATAGTACATATCAGCCTCCACTATCCTGGTGCTCTCCAGACACGCTGGACTACAACTCCCATCACATTCAGCCAAAACAACCCTATTGGCTGATGTTGATAGTTACTGTAATCAAACACACCTGGTGGGTGCCAGGATAGGGAAGGCTGTTCGATATGGATGGGAGGCAAATCTTGGCACTTCACTATAAACAAGGGTCATTGGTTGGACCCAGGACAAAGCCTGAGGGACCCAAAGCTCTCTGAATCGTAACTGTACTTTTGGAAGTACAGGAAATGGCATGTAGTAAGTTAGCTGTGGACCGTTGTATGAAAATCAAGAGCCAAAATAACCTTTTCCTTGAGTTCACAGTTCAACACCACTGTCTGTAGCTTTTGAATTTAGATTTATTCCTGACAGAGAGTGTTTGCCCTTAAATAGGAGCTAGCAGCTCAAAGGGAACAGGAGGCAGCACAAATCTGCTTTCCGTCCCACCTTGCAAAGGCACTGAGAGATCCAGTCATACATTTCTCATGGTGCATCAAGTTTTTCCTCAAGGCAGCGAGGAAATAATATGACTGGAGCTGCTGAAGCTCCCACTTTGAAAGGCAACCCGCTTTGAAAGGCAACGCCTCTTGCAGTTCATTCTGCCACAGCAGAGATAAGCCAAGCATGCTTCATTTGCTTATTACGCAAAATAGGAGGTTGGCAAACCCAGATATGTTCAGTTGCTGAGCCTGCTGTAAAGCTACCTATCCAGTACTACCCAGATGTGAAGCTGGGACCATGCCACTGTCCCCCACAGGGACGGACCCATGCAGGCGTGGGACTCTGCTGTGCAATGTGTCAGGCGTAGGGGCCAAAGGCATGCACAGGACTTGCAGCGGGGGTTGCTCTGCAGAAGCCCAGGGCAAACTGCCCACGCGCTTCCCACCCCAGGCACCCCAGGCAGCCTGTTTGTCACAGGTCAGGAGTTTATTTATTTATTTATTTATTTATTTATTTATTTATTTATTTATTAAAACATTTTTATGCAGCCCCATTCGCCGAAGCCTCGGGGCGGCTTACAACAATAAGTTGCAACGGTTGCCTCCACAGACACAGTTCATCCCAGTTCATAAGCACATGAACTCAATGCTGATGCTGCTGGCTTCCTACAACACCTCCTACTAGAAAATGTTTGGAAACTGTACATAAGTCTAGCCATCACTGCGGGCATCAGAAATGCAGAGCCCTATAGGAATGTATGCATTTGTGCATTTCAGAACCAAGCTTGTTTCTCTTCTTCCCAAGCAGACACTGGCCATTTCTGAACTTGCCTTGCAAAATGGCAGTTGACTTATGCAAACGGAAGCTTTCATCCTCCATTAGCACTTTGTGGGTTAAGAAAGAAAAGGCCATTTTGCTTCTTCAGTCAAGTGCTATTTCAGGAATCCTGTGAAGCAGAAGGGCTCTTCCAGAAAAGCTTGAGCAAGCAGCAGACCCAGAACTGTTGATCAAAGCAACCCTTCTGTGGTGGAGATGTTGCATCTTCCCAAGATCAAGCTACAATATGCAGTTCCTGGAGCAATGCAACACCCCCCCCCCCCCCCCGCAATCATACTGTCATTGCTGCACAGAGACTGCCAGGTAGAATATTATGTGACAGTTGTCAGAGTTGCTGGATAGTGCCAGCTGCAACATCATTTCCTTGCAATAGTCTGTAATTGCCCATTGGCTCCTCTTATCTTTTTCTAAGGTTTAAATATCTTGATAAGCTAAAGTGTCCTTTACTGCACCTCTCAAGCATGGGAGAAGAACAGCTGTGCATAGATTGCTAACAGTGAAAGGTGATATCCCACCATTTCATGAACTTTGCTGCTGCTGCTTTTAAAGTAAAGACTTGTAACACCTTTATCAAAATGTTTTAAGGAAAGAGTCCTGCTTAAAACAGAGGTATAGTTACCAAAACAATTACGTTAGCCTAAGATGTTTTCTCGGCTTTCTGAGACAGTCTTTGCAAGCTTCCCAAAGTTTACTACTGGTCAAGGCTGGTCATATCATTAGGCAGGGCGAGGCAACTGCGAAAGGCAGCAGATGCTGGGAGCAGGCAGCAAGGTGGGAGAGGACCGTGCTTGGATGCCTGCGCTCCCCAGGTTAGCCTGATGCCCTCAGAAGCAGGAGAGAAAGATTTACCCACCAGTCCAGCTGGCTTTAGTTCGTGATATGAGGGCGTGCTGATTCTCTTGATCTTTGCCTCAAGCAGCTGAATGTCTGGGGCTGGCTGGGCTATTGATACAAATCCGCCTGTGCGTATGTGGCCAAAGCACTCACTACTTCTGCTCATATCCCCAAAGCAGCTTACAGCACTAAGCAGCCTGCTGTGGTCTCCACAACCATTGTGTGGCGAATGAATATGGGGATATACTGATCTACAAGGGGATAGGATAGGCACACTCAACAAGTACCTCAAAGGCATCACGAAGAGGAAGAAAAGGACCTCTTTGCACTCATCCGTGAGTGCAGGACACAGAACAACAAACTCAAACTGCAGCATACCAGATTCAGGGTAGACACAAGGAAGTTTCCTAAGTGTTGGAGCAATACAATTATGGAACCAGCTGCCAAGAGAGTTGTGGCTCTCTCACATTAAAGACATCCAAGGCGAAACCAGACAGTCATCTGAGTGGGATGGTGTGACTTGGCATCCTACACCAGCAGGGGGTTGGACTCCTTGGCCCCTTCAGCCCCTATTCTATGAATCTATGTATCTATGGATATTATGGAAGTAAGAGACGGAGTAATCTAAACTGGCAAGATTTCATCAGGAACCTGAATGAGATCTGCAGCTGTGTCAGAGCGGTTTGTAAGCAAATATAAGTGAATTAAATTGTTGCAAAGAGCACCCTTCAGACTAACGTATTTATAGTGGCATGGTTACACAGGCCAAATGGATTTTATCACAAAAATGAAGTGTCATCCTCACTTCTTAGGTAAGCTATGCATTCTTTGTGCCTGCACATTCATGCACAGAGAGGTATAGTGAGGGGGAAATGAAACATACAAAGCACAGTTTATATAAGATTTCTATGGAAAGTTTAAATGATTACAAGATAAGCAGAATCATCATCCACATCAGTGATCTTGTATATCTTTAAGCTTTGCACAGAAATGTTCCAGGCTGTATCTTATGAATTTCATGGTCTTTTGACCCTTGTGAAATGTTTATATCTGCAGATACATAGATATCTGAGGACAGGCTTCATGCATCTAATGAAGTAAGACCCAAAGTTTATGCCGCAATACATCTGTTAGCTTTTAAGGTGCCAAAGGACTCTGTTGCTTTTGCTGCAACAAGCTAACATAGCTTCCCCTCTGTAGTGAGGATGAGGATGATTCATGCTTCTTCCATGTAAATGGACTTTCACTAAAGTGTCTTTTACTATGTAATGCTTGAAAGCATGAAAGACTTGATTCTGCAATAGTGCTGATCCTTTGAGAAATTTGTGTAATGGCACCGTTTCTAAAATCATGCTTACAGATCTTTAAGCAAAAGTCCATGCAAGAGATGCAAGAAACCACACACTATAAAGGCTGACATGTCCGTTTCTATTATTAACTATTAATAAACCATCAACGATTAAGATTTGATGACTGAGTATCTGGTTTCTGTGCCTACTAATTCTCATATGCATAATTGTCCAGACTTCTGATAAAAAAACATCAGGCATGCCTGGAGTTCCACAAGCTCTGAGTCAGGCAAGTATCTCACTTTATCAGAAGACCCAGACACCCCATTAAAGCATCCAGGCTGGGAAAAGAGTGTCAGTACAGGGTTGGCAACTATTCTTTTGCATTTGCTTCCTGACCAGGACCATGGTGAGGAGGAGCCCAGCCAACTCTTACCTTGCTAGATCCAGGAAAGAGTCCACCGTCTCCCTCGTGGTGGGCATGGCTTCGTCCAAACCCAGCTCATTCTTGTTGAGCGCCCCAGCGCCAAACCCGGGTTTGATGATGAAGGCCAAGGCAATGGCGAGGGCTGAGGCCATCAGCGTGGTGACCAAGAAATAAGAGATGGCGATGCCTCCTAGCCTACCCAGGGACCGGGCGTCCAGGCTTGCAGCGCCAGAAACCAGGCTGCACACCACCAGCGGGAGGATGATCATTTTGAGCATGCGGAGCAGCATCTCTCCCGGGAAGGCCAGGTAGGTGACCTGAGCCTGGGTGAGGTGCATGTGCCTTACCAGGGAGCCCATGGCCACACCGGCCAGCACCCCGGTCACGGTCAGGATCACGATGCAGTTTTTCTTTAGGAAGTGTGCGAAGCCCTGCAGCCGGAAAAGCTTCAGGCGCGGCGCTCGGGCCCCTTCGTCCGCGCTCTCGCAGTCAGACAGCACCGCTGGCTCCAGGTAACCATTGCGGCTCTCGTTCGGTTTCTCCATGCTAGCCAGGCTCGGGAGGCAGGCGCCACGGTCTGGCGCGAAGAAAGAGCGGCTGGAGAGAAAGGAGACGCGTGCAGGGCCTCGGAAAGAGCAACGCCGCTGCCGCTCGCTATTCCTTCAGAGGTGGAGGGAGAAGGTGAATGGTAAAGCTCGAGCCGCTGCGCGCCCTCCAGGCTCCGAGCGCCTTCTGCGCTCGGCAAGCAGGTTGGCCGGCTAATACTGAAGCGCGCCGCGGGCACCCCGCCCGCCCAGGCAGGGATGATGCAAGGGAGAGGCAGGCTGGCCTCAGCTCCTGTCCCCCTTCTCATTGGCTCCCAGCAGAGCCCCCTCCAGCGGTCATGGAGCCGTCTTCCCCCTTCCCTTTGGCACAGCTCATCGAACCGCGAGGGGGATTTTAAAGCGGAGCCTCGGAGAACGAGAAAGAGCGGGCAAGAGGCGTTGGGGAGGCGGGTCCAAGCAAGCTGGCGGAGGGGCAGAGCGGCCGCTTTTAATTCGCCGTTAGTAGGGGAATGGGGGCATGAAGAGCTTCCCCTGCCCCATTGGTCCAGCCACTGGGATGGAAACCCGCCGGAGGGAAAGGACCGCGTGCCGTGGGAGTTTTATTTTAGGAGCATCCATTCTCCTCCCCCTTCTTTCCCATAAATGGTGACAAGGCGGGTGACGATAGGCAAGGGGGACGGGCGCGTCATGTTCTATCCTCAGCTCGGGAGACCATCTGCAGCGGCGAACAATGGGCTAGACCACTTCAGTCGACGGGGGGCCAAGCACTTTGGTTCCCACTACACCAGTAAAGTTCCCTGCAAAGAAACGGTAACAACGATAACGCTTCTCCCAGGAGAAATATTATTTCCTATCCACTCGCCTCTATATTTGCAGGGACATTTTGAAACATTGCTCTCATACCCCGTGGTCTGTCTTGGTACAGTCTGCCTTATCACGTTAGCGGCATACCCCTCCGTTCCTCTAAGCGTAGGCACCGCGCGCCTGTTCGTCTGGCCGTGACGCTGCTAAGGGTAACGAGTCCTGTCGAGGCTACTCCGTCTCACACGGGTCCCCCTGCGCCTCGCAAGGCCGGATCAATTGGACGCCTAGGAGCCGTAATGAATAGGTCCAGCGCCAGGAATCGGCGCTGCTGGTTAACTGCAGAGGATCCGCTCCGAAGAACCTGCTAGCGCTGACCGCAAAGGAGCACCTGTTCTGTCCAACACGAAGGGGGAAGGGTACATTTGGGTCCCCGCTTCTGCGCGGTACTACAGCAGAAGCAACCCCCCCCACCTCTTACACCCCCAAACTAGGTAAGGGTGTGAAAGTTCAAATCAGCCACCTGTATTCAACTCACCTGGGGCAGGACTAGGTACTGAAAACAGCCGAGACTGAGTTTCATAGGGGGCAAAGTGAGGAAATTTGTGTATGCAAACTTACATAAATACTGTATACATGTCCTGTAAAGTCTGTACATTTGTCTTTAAAGGAGACTGCCGAGGATAACCATCTTTGTAAAAAGAGATGTATGGATAGAGGAGGAGAGGGTATTTGAAGGGGGGGCAAATTGAGGCAGAAAAGGCTGGGGGAGGAGAAGCAGGAGGTGTTCCACCTGTGGCCAAAAAGATACAGAAATGATCGGGGCTCCTGTATCTTTCCACAGCAAGCGCCCATGTTCAGCAGGACGGTGAGGCAGCTTCCGGCCTGTAGCCCTAGTGGGCTACCCCCTTCCTCTGCCAATTCTCCCAGCACCCGACCCAGGGGCAGTGGGCGAGTAACTGCAGGTGGCTGTTCCTTGGCTGGGCAGCTTAGGGGGCAAAACTACTATCCCCACAGGCTCACTGGCCATTTTTGTCTGGGTAGTATGGCGGCTGGGGCCCAAGAAGAGGATGAGGGGCACAGAGCTAGTAAACCTCTCACCCCAAATCTAGAATTGGCTCTGACAGATGATTCATCTTCTGGGAACAAAGTCATTCCTAAAAGCATGCATCAGAATCTCATACTCTCTCCAGCACACAGTTTATCGTGATTTTTATGGGGATCATCAGTGGTATGAATTTGCCTTTGGTGAATTGATTTTATTTTGATATTTATAAACTCAGGCATTTCTAATATCCTCCCATATATGTATCTATTGGCCATGAGGCTCACTGGGTGTCTTTGGGCCAGTCACAGACTCTCAGCCCAACCTACCTCACAGGGTTGTGGTTCTGAGGATGAAACCGAGCTATGTAAGCCACTACAAGAGGGAAAAAGGCAGGAAATAAATGCAGTGTAGTAGGAATAATAATCCTATACATCCTCTGTTCTGTTATAACTTATTTAGGGTACCATCCTGCACATGTTTAGAGAGAGAGAGAAAAGTCCTACAACTCCCAGGACTTTGAACCGACTGGGGACTTTTTTCTTTCTAAACATGCATAAAAATACTCCCTGATTTCATCATGATTTCACTTGTCCCTCTGCGTTCAACATGCACACACCCCTCCACCAACACACAATGGCTTGAATCTGTTTCGGTTCCCACATGCTGTCAACACAAATGTGGAAAAATGCAGCCTTGCTTTCAAACGGTTCCAGACCACTGAGCAGACAGCTTCTGCTGCTGTCATTAGCCTTCTCCTGTCCAGACACGAATGTTACAGCCACAGAAGGCTATCCAGTCAGACCCCCAGTCCTGTAACAGTAGTCGCTGGTGCAGCAAGGGGCTTTAACACGGCCCGACACTCGACTGCTGGGGGAAACGTGCTGTGCAGGCAGGCCCAGGAAGTCTGTTCGAATGGGGAAGCTCTGTGGCGCAGAAGACAAATAAGGGTCCGGCATGATTCTGTTTCCTTGACTCAAAGGTAAGTTGACACATTGTGTTCTGCAGGGCTTTCTCCCCGGTCAGAGTACATAGGACTGCAAACTGCATTTCCCCTTGAGTCAGTGGTTTGCACGACGCAAAAGGGGTGTCACTTGAATTCCTCCACAAGCACATGTAGCCAACGTAAGGGACGCCAGGATTCCATTTGCAGGCCCTGGCCCTTACCCTGGTATCACATATCCCACGCTGCCTTCCCTCCTCCCGAGTTTATGTGTTGGATGCATTTGGAGAGGAAGCTTATCAGGAATGGTCCAAGACATTTTGCAGCTAGAGGCAAAGAACAAAATGTTCTCTCTGCCCACCGTGGCATTTCATGTGCAGAGGCCAGCTGGACTGTCAGTTTGCTGGCAATGGGGCAGTGCCCTGCAGCGCACCTGAGGGCAGCAGGTTACTTTAGAGGAAGCAGAATGGGCTGTGTAGCAGACACAACTCTGTCCTCTGAGGGGAAAGGCCAGGAGGAACAGCAGGTGGGCTGCCCCAGCTGACCCCCCGCCCCCCGTGCTTCATGATAGGACTGGCCCTGACATCTTTATACACGCAGCAAGATTCCCACATGATTGGAAACTTGGATCATGTAGGCTTCTTATCACACAGAAAGCTTATTCATGTAACAAGTGTACTTTGGAGGCCATTTCGGGGTGGTGGCAAGGACATGCAGTCCCATCGCTCCCTCTACACATCAGCTGTTTGCACGAATGGTGAACATACCTTTCAAGCCACTGCTTTCTTTCCACTCTCCTTTTCTGGATGCTGGGAAGGATATGGTTAACATTTTTTTCTGTTAGCGTGACTTTTTTAAAAAAGTAATAAAAGTCGCATATGCAGCAATGGTTTTGAAAAAACAGCCAGTAGTTAAAAGAAGAAGAGTTCAAACATGCAACCTCTTCTCCTTGGCTGTGGGAGAAATATGGTGAAATGTCAACAGACCAGTGATGCGCAAATGAAGTAGCATGAAGGCAGACGGTGTCAAAGCAACCTGTGTGACATTTTCATACAAACAGACAAAATGTTACAGATGCCAGGCCCATGCACCCTGCTACATTGTTTAGGGCTCTACAAGCAATCATTTATATATATATAATAATTTTGGACATAATTTTCGAAATAGACTGTGCGGTACAGATTTTCAGAAGTATTTGTTTCTCTAATCTTCCAGAAATCTACCCTGTATTAATGCTAGTGATCTGCAAACTACTAGGTGCTCAATATGTTTGAAAATTTGCCCCATCCCCTACACACACACACATGCGCGCGCGAGCATAATTAGCAATGGCATGCCCTGGAATAGCTGAGATGCAACTCAGCAGATGTTATTAAAGCCACCCGTTTCATATGGCACAGTCGTCTCAGCCGTCCAGATATGGCGTATGAAGTAATGTAGGAATTGCTGCTGACGTGCAAGCTGACGAGCTCTGACATCCTGAATTGCGTTCTAGCACTTCTGCATGGCAGGGGTAGCCTAAGCGTAGAGATGACTCAGGAAGGTCCAACAGAGAGTGACAGGGAGAAGCCGGACCTAATGCCTGCCTCAGACCTACTCTATCAGGCAGAGTAGACCAGTGCAGGAGTTCACTTCTAGCCCGTTTGTGTTTCATTATCTAACCATCAAAGGCTCTCACTACAGAGATGCCCTGCTCTGAATACAGTTGGGGAGCAATAGTCCCTGGACCTCAGGTTTTGCCATTATCTTCAGGCAAGATATTTAAATAATGACTCTTCCCAGTCCTCACTGCCATACACACAAGCCACAGGACTTCCTGGCCAGCTCTCCTCTTCTCACCCATCCCAACACCATACTGATCGGATCCCCCCACCACTACCTTCTCTGCAGTCCCATGTTTTATCCCCTCCACCCAGTACTTCTCTCTAAAAACTGGGCTCTATATCCTCAGAGCGCCTTGCTCACACTTTTCTGTTTTGAAGATGATGTGAAATGTTTGAGCATGAGTTTAGATGCAATTGCAGCTCTTTATGAGGAGATACACAAGGTAAGAGTGGATGTGATAGAAAGACTCTGAGCAGTGGAATTAAGCAGCAAGACTTGATTGGTTGGTGTTTTAGGATGGGGTGGGCAAGGAGGCCCAGGAGGCCCATTCTGACTCGCTCTGTTTCTCTGTTTCTATGTTTCTAAATTGTTCTTCTCTTAAGATATATGCATGAATTTAGAAGATTATTTTGTATTGTATATCAGTTCTGAAATTCAAAATGTGTTAGGATCTTAATACTGGTGCAGCTGTCTTTTGTTTAGCTCAGGTTAGGGGGAGGCTTGGATCTAATTTATGTTCTCATTTTAACCCTGTGTTGCAATAATGCACATCCAACCCATTGTGGAGGTCTTGTGTCATCCAGTCATCTCCAACTTACGTTGCCCTTCTGAGTGAAATGTCCTGACCCTGACAGCCCCATTCAGATCTTCCAAGTTCAAAGCTGAGGCTTTCCATCCATCTCATAGTTGTCTTCTGCCTTTGACTTTTCCTGGCATGATTGTCTTCTCCAGTGAGTCTTGCCTTCTCATGATGTATCCAAAGTATGACTGCCTCAGTTTGGTCAGTTTTGCTTCTAAGGAAAGTTCTGGCTTGATTTGATCCAGGACT